TATCTCCTTATGGTAAATAAGAGCCATGTACAATTTTTAAGAAAATAACCAAAACTAAGCAAGCCTGAGGAGGAGGTAGGAACTAAGACCAGTAATAAATTTCTCTGGGAGTCAAAGGAGAAATCACTGACCTCAACTTCCTAGTGGTTTCCTGTAATATTCTTCTTATCATTTCCACAATTGTGTACATTTCCATATCACTCTTCTTTCCTATTTTTGAATGTCTTCTTGAGATACTTTCACAATTCTTACAGTGAGTTATCAAGGTGCATTATTTCCTGATCAAAAAGCATCCCCTGTTCTTTATTTGCCCAGGTGCTTTCTGCTTACATTTTCAAGCCACACCAAGTGAGGATACTACAAAGAACTGTCAGGACCATAATACTTTTAAGAAAATCAGTGGTTTTTAAAATTTGTCAAGCATTAATAATCCCAATATCAAATCCCATCCAATTTCTTTAACTAAAAAAGAACTATTAACTCTTGGCCAAATGTTGGAAGTATAAAACTCATTCAAAGATCGTTTAATCAGAAATTCTTTTAAGACATATTTATTAATAGCATTGTTCATTTTCTATGACATATACCATTGATATCCCATTCATAATTCCATTCACACAATGCTAACTTTTAACTGCTTAAGCCTATAGCAATCCTCTGCCATTGCATATGGTGGGCTATAAAATGCCAGGGAACTATCTACCTTGGGAGCTGTCATTAATTTTGTATATTCCAGCACATTTTCTCTTGGAAAGGACAACTTTCACTCTTGTAATCAATGCTGGTTCCCAGAATTGTCCAGGGGAGGAAACTCCACTTACTCAGGAAGATAACCTATTTGATAATGCATCAACCCAATCAAAGTTGACACAAGCAGTGGTATTGGTAAACAGATATTCAGGTGGGATTCTAGAATTAAACCTTGCACAAGCCATATGCCAACAAAAACTTCCTTAGTAACAGGATGTACCAGTCATAACTGGAGCCAGGATAACACCTCAGATGCATTACAATCACTAAGATTTCCATCTATGGTGTTCTGAACTGAATGTAGATTGAAGGGGATGCACATAGCTTCTGAGAGATATGGGGACCATAGTATTCATAAAGCTAAGAGCTGGTTGTTAAATTTCCCTGAAGAAAATGACAGTCTGAGGTCAGTGAACTATGAATGAAGAGCAAAGTAAGAAACCCACAATACTTCAACATCAGCTAATAAAGAGATTCTCATTTCAGCTGTGGGAAGGTAAACATGAGCTAGAAATTAGGCTCAGCATTGGCTTTTTAGAATTGGAATTATAAAAGAGGCTCTATTCATAGGCTTGGCAGGTTTCTATGCAAAAGTCAGGGTATGGGGCTGGGGATATA